CTATTCCTCACTTTCTCTTTTATCAGATTTAGTGTATCCAGTTTTATGTTGAGGTCTTTGATCCACTTGGATTTGAGTTTTGTGCAGGGTGATAGATACGTATCTATCTGGATTCTTCTACATGCAGACAACCAGTTAGACCAGCACTATTTGTTGAAGATGCTTTCTTTTTTCTATTGTATGGTTTTGGTTTCTTTGTCAAAAATCAAGTGTCTGTAAATGTGTAGGTTTATTTCTGGGTCTTTGATTAAATTTTATTGATCAACCTGTCTGTTTTTTGCCAATACTATGCAGTTTTTATTATAATTGCTCTGTAGGGCAGCTTGAAATCAGGATGGTGATACCTCGAGAAGTTCAGGATTGTTTTAGCTATTTTTTATTTTACCATATGAAGTTGAGAATTGCTCTTTCAAGATCTATAAAGAATTGAGTTGGATTTTTATGGAAATTGCATTGAATCTGTAGATTACTTTTGATAAGTTGACAGTTTTTACTAAGTTAATCCTACTGATCCATGAGCAGCATGGGAGATCTTTCCATCTTCTGGTATCTTCAACTTCTCTCTTCAAAAGACTTGAAGTTTTTGTCAAACAGGTCTTTCACTTGCTTGATTTCTTCTTTGACCCACTCATTATTCAGTAATAAATTGCTTAATCTCCATGAATTTGTATATTTACTAGAGATCTATTTGCTGTCAATTTTAATTTCTGTAGCATTGTGACAAGATAGCGTACAAAGAGTGATTTCAGTCTTTTTGAATTCATAAAGTTTTGTTTTGTGTCCCAGGATGTGGTCTATTTTAGAACAGCTAATGTGCTGCTGAGTAGAATGTGTATTTGGAATTTGGGTGGAATATTCTCTAGATATCTGTTAATTCCATTTGATATATACCCGTTAATTCTGATGTTTTTGTCTTTATTTTTTGTTCACATGGTCCGTCTATTGGAGAAAGTGGGGTATTAAAATGGAGTACTCACTAGTAATGAGTGACAATGTGTGTCTCTAAACCCAGTAATATATTTTGTTTGTTTTGTTTTTTGAGACAGGGTTTCTCTGTGTAGCTTTGGCTGTCTTGGACTTATTTTGTAGACTAGGCTGCCTTTAACTCATAGAAATCCACCTGAGTGCTGGGACTAAAGGCATACACCACCACGCCTGGCTTAGAAATAGCTTTTTAATGAAAGTGGGTGCCTCAGAGTTTGATATGTTTAAGGTAGTAATGTCTTCTTGGTTGACTACTACCTTGATAGAATGAAGTATCCTTCTTTATCTCTTCTGATTAGTTTTAGTTTGAAGTCTTATTTTCTCAGATATTAGTATGATGATGCTTTCTTGCTTTCTCGTTCCCGTTTGATTGGAGTACTTTTATCCATCCTTTAAGACGGTGCCTATTTAAAAATATGCGTTTATGATTTCTTGGTCATCAGTGAGAAGAGAATAGCCTTAAGCTCTTTTCTCCTTAATTTCATTATGTTGTTTCTTTGTTTCTTCTTCAAATTGAATTCTTTGAGGAAGTAGTGATTCTTTTAAATTCTATATCTTGGAATTCATGTAGGTAATTCCTATAGGACATACAGGTTTTTAGAGAGAAGATACTGGCATAGTCTTTGATATTGTTGTTATTTTTGTGATGAGATTTGGCACGTGGACTTCTTTTGTTAGTTCTGGGTCTCTTATGGACAAAAGAAAGGCCATTCAAGTGATTTGGGGCATAGAGATTGTAAATGACTTGTGTGAAATGAAGTCAAGTAGAGAAAATGGACTGGAGTGGTATATGCCATGTGCCTCCTGGTCCACACCTGGAGTGTGAGAGTGTCCTGTGGTTTGGGAGATAGTGGGGAGGGTCCTAGCACAAGACTAGAGATCTTTTGTGGTACAGGCAAGGGGGGCCAGAATAGGCTCGTACACTAGCCTGGTACCAGGCTAGATCTGGCGGTAGAAAAGGTATGTTTGAGGATATCAAGGGGACTCAACAGTCAAGACCATGGAGGCAGACCTGGGGAGGTCTGGATACCAAGTAGGGTGATTACAAGTGGCACAGGAGGGAGCTATGGGTGGCTATAGGTAGAGCAGGTCTTGGGGAAACCTAGAGGTTGACTTGAGCACAGGAGGGGATGGTTTGATTAGGCAGGGCCATATAGAATGTGGGACCCAGTGGAAGCCTAGAACTTGGATGCTGCATAATCACTGGTACCTGGACTGGGCTGGGTCACTGGTATGAGACCTGGGCTAGAGCTAATGGTTGTAGTAAAGGCATAGATAGTTTGGGGTAGGGGAACAACTCACTGGGACCCGGAGGAGGATGCATGCTTTTAAAAATGGCTTTATTAAGTTCAAGGCCGGCTTACTCTACAGAGTGAGTTCCAGGACAAGACTAGACAGAGAAACTTTCTCAAAAAAAAAAAAAAAAAAAGGCAAATAAAATGGCTGTATTAAGGTTAATGCATGTAATTAAAATGTTTAAAGTACACAACTTAGTGATTTTGGTTATTTCAAGAGATGGAGTTGTCATCATGGTCACCCCACATCCTTTACTAACTATCTAATAAGCTGCTCTCTGTCTCTTGAGATTTGCCTTTCTTCCCTGCCTTCTCTTTCTGGAGCCATAGTTCATACTCTGGACCTATGCTTCCCTGCCTGCCTACTGGAAACCCTTTCCTAAAGATACCAGTATCTGTGATGGTGGCCCAGAAAATACTAGTAGGTCTTTAGTATGTAGTATATGGCCATGCAAAGTAGGCTTGGACAGAGGTTTACTGAGTGAATAATGATGCCAGTGAGTACTTGAGCCAGGGATGCCTGGGTGTTGAGGATATTTGCACCAATTACTAAGGTCCCCATTGTCTCCTTAGGAAGGTCATGCATATATAATGTCACCCTAAAGCCCTGCAACAATAAACCAAAAAGATGCCCCACAATCACAATGGGTAGCCTGTTGACCAGATCCAACAGGTAGGAGATATGAGGACCACTCAGATGGAGGCGAAGAGGGCCAGGTGGATCAGGATATACAGGGTTCAGGGATATACGGGGATATACAGGTTCAGGATATACAGGCCCCAACTCTGGTTTTTCTGTGCCGTGGCTAGTCCAGCGACAGTGTGTGCTCAATGTGTTTATGGGGAGAAGGGAATATGTTCAGCTGGCTGGTCACTGTTAGTGTCCATTTAGGTCTTGGGCCTCCTGCCAATACTCGTGCATTCCATCAAAGCAAAGTTTTGTCATTCTTCCAGCAAGCAGCCTGCGCCTATCCCAACTCACATCTCTTTCTTCCCACTCAGCTCAGGGGAAAAGTCAGAGTTTGGGGGCGTTGTTAAGGATTGCAAAGAAGCCAAAAAAGGGGAGGATTCTTGGCCTAGCCTGGAGGCTGTGTGACCCTTCAGCAAGCAGCTCGCCCTTTCTTGAGTCACAGATTCCACAGCTAAATGGGGTGGTGTGATGGGGCCTCCCAGTTTGCAGATAAGCATTATCAAGAGCCTCTCTTTCCTGTGGCTTATCCAGATATCATTGGGTAGATGCAGTGAGAGGATTTGGATTTTCTTATGACTGCCCCCTAAATGGCAGAAGGAACATTGGTTCAGTTCAGTTGTCCCTTTGCCAACCCCTTCTCACCAACTGGATGTAGTTGTAAAGGATAGAACCATAGTGTGTCCATTCCTATAAGCACATTGTACTTGCCAGGTCTCCAGGGTGGGAGGTGCTTTAGGCAGTAAAAGTAGAGCCATGCCAAACATTTGTTGAGGTTTTATAGGCCAGACACTGTGATTGTTTTTTCATGTAGTTTTATTTAGGTCTAGTTCACATGCTATAAAGTTCATTCTTTTAAATTGTAGAGTTCTCTAGATTTATCATGTTTATAGTACTCTATAACAATCTCCAGTATCTCATCCCAGAACATTTTTATCACTTTCTGAAGAAACCCAACGCCTTTTCCCCATTCCCCTGGGTAACCATCCTGTCTTCTGTTCTTTGGATTTGCCTGTTCCAGATAGTCCGTGTGAACAGGACGATATAGTATGTAGGTCTTTGTGTCTCACTGGTTTCAACTGTACAATGCTCCTGAGGTTCAAATTCTTTTTGTGTGCGTCAGAACCTCTGTCGTGTCATGCTGTGCAGTCAGTTTGTGGGTGGACTACAGATCTTTCGACTGTTTGCCGTCTGTGAGCGTGTCCGTCGTTAGGCCCTGGACAGCTAAGAGCGGTCTCGGATGCCGCAGTGCACGCTTTTGTTTGTGCAGCTTCCTCACGTGTGTGTACCCAGCAGTGGAATCTCTGGCACTCCCCGTTGCTTAGCTGTATGTTCAACCTTTTCCAAACTGCCGGGCTGTGCTCCAGCTGCAGCATTTTGTTCCCTGTACTCGCTTACTTTGTTGACAGTCTCATTCTGCAGCCCTGGTTGACCTGGAACTCATGGTAATCCTCCTGCCTCAGCCTCCGAGCCACCTCACCGGGCTTCTGGTTTTCACCTGCATTATCACAGAAACTTCATGAGACAGAGTTAAAACTGTTGATATTCTGGTTTTCAACCACTCAGTGGAAAGTTGAAGTCCAGAGGTTTCCTTGCTGTTGGCGGCACCTAGGCACTAATGAATCTTAGGCCAGTGTCAGATTTGATCTCTACCAGACTCTGCTTTATGCCTTCAGGATGGGGGCTGGGAGCTATGTCATTTACACTCAATACCTGCCATTCAATATGGCACATTCATCGAATAAAGTGTCACCCCTTCCTATCTTGGTGTTTGTTAGGAACTTGACAGAGGTGCCTTGTATGGCTAAGGGTTCTTTTGCTCTGTAGGTTTTCAGATCCTCTTAGGGTTCTGTGTTCCCCTAAGCACACCACAAGCTGTAGAACCCTGAGACCTTTTAAACTCGGCATCTATTCTAATACTTAGAATGTGTTGGGGAGTAGGAGCTGACATCCTTCCTGTTTGTCAATTTGCCCTGTCCTCTTGTCCTCTGGCCCAGTGCTGCTGATGACTTGCCATCCTTTTTCTCTTCTAGGCAAAACCCATTTATGGTGGCTGGCTGCTCCTGGCTCCAGATGGCACTGACTTTGACAACCCAGTGCACCGGTCACGGGTAAGAATACCTGAAATAATTCTAGGAGTGGAAAGAACCAGGAGGTCCATTTGAGAGCAAATTGGTGAAATTAGGGCTGGAGACAAGACGTAAACACTGGAACCTGGTGACAAAGTCAGCAGGGGTCCAACATTTTTTGAACTCTGAGATTTCAGAAAGTTCTGCTTCTGTATATGTAGAGTCTTTGTTTCAAAATGTGCCATTCTTGTATGAGTGTCACTTATTGTGGTTCATCTGGACTCTTTGAAAACAGTCAAATGGAAAAGGCAAAAGCAATTCAGTACATCTTTGCAACATGTTGATCTAGCTTGCAGGTCCTTCAGAGCCAAGGCCGCTCCCTCTGGAGCCGGTGCTTAATCCTAATAAAGGACAAATAAAGTCCTAATAAAGGGCTTGAGGCCTGGATGGCTGTGCTCTCTGAGTAAGCCTTACACCATCTTACCTCCTGGGTATAGGTCTCTTCTGGAACAAATGATAGATAAACCTGCATTTTGCTGACCAGAGGCTTGCTCATTCCCTGGGCAACCTGTTGGGAATTCAGCTCCAGTTAGAGTATCTTTTCCATACCCTTTCTTTATACACTTGCCTCAGCTCTGCTCATCCCGCCTCACCTTGACAGGGCCTCACAAATACATGCTCTGGCCTGCAGAACTAGTGGCATTGTTTCTGGCCCTTGGGCGCTCTTGAGTAGATTCTGATTTCAAAGATAACACATAGGAACCTTGGAAATGATTTTGGAAAACAGATGCCAGTAGCCTATTCTGGAACTCCAACCTGGAAGCAGTGCTAGTGGGTCCTCTCTGAGTAGTCCCTTGAATTTTGTTCTTAACCCCTGGGTGGCCAGCAGTTCCGACTAAAATGCAGTACACAGGGCCAAGTGACTTTCCTGTCTCTACTAAAATTTCAGAACTGCTGTTTCTGCTCCTAATGAAAAAGTTGTTATTTTAAAATTTATTATTTTGTTCTATAGCAAAGAAACATACATACATATAGTTAATTCTGTGGGTTTAGTGCTAGTCAAAATTTACCTGTTACTGTACTTTTTGAAATGTTGAGAATAGAACCTCAAGTCCTTCTGAAATCAACTAGAGGGGTATGGGTGGGAGCCATTCCTGTTTGTGAGTCATCATTGAGGCTTATGGGGTAGACAAGACCCTTCACCCAGAAAGATGGTGTGTATATTTTGTCCTTTTCATTCCAGCTCTCAATGGTGTTTGACCATGGTAACAACACCTCTGGAGGCTTGGCCTTTGTTGGGGTTCTTCTCTGTTTGATTTTTGTTAGTTTGTTCCACTGCTGTTGGATTCTTCAGCCTTGGCTGTCTGCTCCCTGTTCCTTGGAAATCCCAAGATCAACCCATTTCATACAATTTCCCAGACTCTCTTGGGAGGGATACTGTCGGTGTCCCTGTATCCCCAGGTTACTCTAGATCACAGAAGATCATTCACCCATTAAGTCAACAGACACTATGAAAACTCTATTTCTGGCTGCCTATAGCAATACAGAAAAATGGCCACATATAGTTTGTACTCCAACTTTAAAGGCCTCGTTGGGCATGTGGAAGCACTAGTCATCTGATTAGGGCCACGTCCTTACCCCACCTGGCTAATGAATCGCTGCGCTTATGTCCCCGGTCTCTCCTCCTACCCTCTACCCCAGAAGTTGAAGCCTCGGAGCCAGCATTCCGTAGATTCTGTGTGTCAGCTATTGGGATTCTACAGTTGAGACCCAGGGCTAGGGTACCTGACCCCCAACTCTGTGCTCTGTTGCAGAAATGGCAACGTCGATTCTTCATCCTTTATGAGCATGGCCTCTTGCGATACGCGCTGGATGAGATGGTAAGTGTCCTCACTGTCCCTGCTCCTACTCCCCAGGCTCCTCAGGTGTGGCACTTGGTACTGCTGGCCACATCGTGTTTCAGTCTTCTGTTGGGGAGTCTGGAGTGTTCTAAAGGACTTGTAGTGGTAGGCAGAAAATGCTGTGCCAATCCAGACGTTGTACTCAAGGCGGCGGCTGTCGTCGCCGCTGCTGCTGCTGCTGCTTTTCTCTTTCCCCCCCCCCCCCTTTTTTTTTTTAGCAGTTGTTGGTGAGAGTAAGCAATAAGGAAGGAAGTCACTTTTGTTCAAGTTTAGGGAAAGTGAGGGTAAAGTCTTAGGTGTTAGTAGGGTTTGCACAGGTGGTGTTCCTGCAGACCCGAGCGGAGAGAGAAGGCTTAAGTCCTGTCTTCCAGGGCTGTCCCACCTCATCTTGGTGTAGGTTTTTATCAGCTGCCACCTGAGGTCTCTAGGCCTGTGGTCAGAGGGGTGAGCTTCTTTCTGCTTTTCCTGGTTTTCTACCTGCATCATGGGTGGGGCAAGTGCTTGCTCTTCCTCTAGACCAGACCACAAGTACAACAGACTCTCTCTATTTCTGCCCATGTCACCTCCCTTTTCTCTCACAGATATTTCTCTCCTAAATGAAGCTTTGACGCCTTCTCCTTTGCCATTTGAGGAGATAAATGTTTGCGAGTGTGCTCTTGTGGCACCTGTGAAGACTGTGGCCACATGGGAAAGTCTAGTCATGTTGTTTCAAGTGGATTGGCCCACTTGCTGTATCCAGAGCCTGTTTCTTCACTGTCATGCTATGGTACTCTGGAGTGTGAGATAACTATTTCCAGGGACTTTCCAGAAGGTGAATTCGCTAGAATTGGAGAGGTAATCATTACCGTTCACATGTGCCTAGGCAGGTCCTTTTCTACCTGTGCTTTCTGATGAGGCTTTTCACTCTTTTTATTCAGAGACCATTAGTGGGCACTAATTACCTGTTGCCTTCTCTCTCTTTCCCCCTCTCCTTCTCTCTCCTTCCCTCTTCCTCTATCTGTCTGTTTCTATCTCTCCCTCTGTCATGCATACACATTTCTGTAATAGCTGTCACCTCATTGGTTGCTTAAGGTTTTTCTCCCCATTGTTCTTTTGATGAGCATAAAAATGAACCGTAGAGAGTTTTGCTAAAGAGCCATCTGTGAGCCAGAGTGGTATGAAGTGAGCCCCAAGTAACCCCTCTAGAGAAAGGAACAGGTAGACATCCATGATGCTTTTCTGCCAGCTCAGGAGACATGCAGGGCAGACTCCACTCCTCTTTTGGTGCTCTCTGTCTTAGCTGTTACATGAGTGGCACATCTGGGGTAGGAGTTTGTCTCCCATAAGCCCTGTTCTTAAGTGCTGTAACTAGTGAAGAGTGATGGATCTTCCAGAGGTCACTGCATTATATTCTTGTTGGGCTCAAGACATGAATATCTGAAAATCTGCAGGGATTTTTTTTACTTAGGTCCAGCTGAAGTCTAGAAGAATTCATTATTGCATCATTCAGTTTGGGCGTCAGCATAAACTGCTCCCCTAAAAATCACTTCTTGGTAACTAAGACAGTGGAGCCAGGTGTGCTGACACCTTGTCCTTAGTGTCTCCAGCAAGCTGCAGTGAAGGCGTGATCAAAAACAACTTGGGAAAGAAAGGCTTTCTTTGGCTTCAGGTATTGATCATATTCCATCATTAAGGGAAGCCAAACAAGGAACTTAAGCAGGGCAGAAACCTGGAGACAGGAACTGAAGCAGAGATCAGTGAGGAACACTGCTTACTGACTTGATCCCAGTTTTCTCTTTTGTACAACACAAGACCACCTGCCCAGGGTGGCACTGCCCACAATGGGCTGTCCTCTTTTACATTAGTCATTCATCAAGGAAATGCCCTACAGGCTTGCCTACGGGCCAGTCTGATGGAGGCATTTTTAAAATTATGCTTCTTTCTTCTCAGATGACTCTTACTACCTTGAAATTGAAAAAGTAAAATAAGATATTCAACATATAGAGTGTGAGCCAAGGCAAAGGTGACTCTGTCAGGGCTGTGAGAAACAAAAGAAGGAAAGACTTGAAGAGAGGCTAGTGAGGGGACATCCAGGTCCAAACATTTTTTTTTTTTTTTTTTTTGTACATGGGCCATTTTCTAGTACATGGCCTGGAACTGGAAAACTAACCATGTAGTCATTTGCTGCTTTTCTACCATACCTCTGAGAATGAAGTGGTAAAACCAGCAGTGGCAATCATGTTGAAATGTCTTCTACAGTATCACTTTGGGCTTGTAAGATTCCCTGTTGCATCAGGAAGCTCACATAAAAGAAAGCTACAAAGGAGGCCATCAGGATCAAGACCAGGTTTCAGGAGTTAGTCAGGGTATTTCAGTAGAAGGAAGGCCTAGTCAGGAAGTAGCATGAGGGTTCTCGTAGGGACTGAGGGTGAAGGGAGCTTACCCCTGCCCTCTGGTCTGCATTAAGTCAGGGTTTACCCTTTGTGACCATTCCTGAGACAAGAAGAGATGTGCTCCTCTGCTACCATCTCTTCTGCCTGTTTGGTGGGGTTCTGAGTCCAGTGCTTGCTCATGTGGCTGAGCCCCAGCAAAAAAAAGTTTTCCCCTGTGTTCTTTTGAACATGTGCTTCAGTAGAGTTAGTATGCCTCAAGGCTATGTGCTAAATATGTGGTGCCATCTTTGATTGAGACAACTAGAGCAAAGATACTATTGGTGTATATTGGTGAGAGCTCGAGGATGCAGAAGACATTTCTCACAGCAAGGATTAGCTTCAAGTGCCCAGGATAAGAAAGTTTGAATGATTTGGCCAGTAGCTTACTCACTTTTTTTTTTTTTTTAACTTAAAAATGTTTGATTTGTAAGATACAGGACTCACCTACTTGTTTCCTTGAGTGGGTTACTAGATGACAGGCTAGGGCTATCTTACAGCCTTTGTTCATCTTGAGGGCTTCTGTAGGGTTCAATCAGGGTTCACTCACACCTATATTTCCTATGGCGTTCATGATGCCTGTGCAATGTCCCCATCCGGGTGCTTCTGTCCAAGAACAGCATCGAGCAGTATATAACTGCTTCTGGTCCTCCTGTCTTGCCTGGCTGAAGTCCAGCCCTCACTGGTAGCCTGCCCATCCCAGCTGACGGGCTGCAACATTAATTTGTAGCACTTTATGGCTGGCATGGCTGGTTTTCTTTATGGCTGGTTAACACTCAGTCACAATCTGTTTCAAATTGTTATTACCCTGTTATACATTATACTGTTTTTTTTTTCTTTCTTTTAACTGCTTTCTTACCGGCCAGACTACGGTTTTCCCCTGTGGTTGGAGGTCTTAATAATTCTTCCCATGTTGTTTGGGTGGGGTCCAGTGGACCAGGCATAGCAAGATGTGTGGAGGTGGGCCTCACTGGCTGTGGTGAACTGGAGGAAAAATGGGCTAGGAATCGGTAGAATGTGATGGCTTTGAATGGCTCTCTGCAAAAGGGGGAAATGACGGTGTCCAGAGAACTCTAAGGAATGGTAGAAGAAGGGCGAGGCTGTGAAGAAACAGGTGAATATTGAATGGTTACAGTGTGCCCTCAGGAGGTGGGTGTTGGTACTAGCTCTGGGTGCCGTGGGACTCTAGCTGGCTAAAAAGGCAAGCCAGTTCAGGTCCCAGGTTTGACCATTGAATTTCCAAATATAGCTCAAATGGCACTCACTTTTTATAATCTCTCTTTCTTTGGGGTTAGGTTTCAATCTCCACCGTATTCACAAGTAGTGTGTGAGTGGTAAGTGTAGAGGTGAGGCAGGTTTCCCTAAAAAAACAGAGAAGCTTCCAGAGTATTTGTTGAGTCAAGGGGCACGGTAGTCCACAGACAAGGTGGAACCTGAAGAGGCTAGGCCTACTGTTTTTTCAGGAGAGGACAAGAAAGGAACCTGGAAACCTCATTGTTGCTAACTTTTGCTTTTACTTCATGTCTGGGTCTTATAGGAACTGATATAAGACTACAGGAGTGCTTGCATTTGGCAGGAGGTTCTGGGCACAATAGTGAGTGGGCTTGTTTTCTTCCCTTGCCTGCATACAAGTTAGGCAAACAGATGGTCAAGTGCTTTGTTGTTTTTTATTGTGGTAAAACACTCGTAACGTAAAACTCTCCGAGCACAAAGCGCATCAGGTGACAGCCATCACCATCCAAGCATATGAAAACTGTGTCACCTTCGTAACAGAAATCATTCCCATTAAGACCCAGCCTTACCCCTTAGCCCCATTCTCCTGCTTGTGTTTCAGATTGCATCAAGAGCCTCTTACAAGTTGCTGTCCCTTACCAGAAATGTTTGGGTCAGATAATATTTTAGAATTTCTTTACATTTGGGGCTATTTGCATAGATATTATATGATGTCCTGAGGATGAGACCCAAGCAAAACTAGAAGAATCCTTTATGTTTAACCTATACCTTATAGACCCAGCCTAAAGGCAACCTTGTTTTTCTTGCATATGAATGTTGACTGTGCTCCATCATGGGGTTAGTGTGGAATTTTCTGCAAGTCAGAGCTTGATTATATTTTAGAGCATTTCAGATCTCAGGCTTTGTCTAAGTGGGCACTTTTTTTTCTCTTCTTTATTCTTCTCTCACACAACACATCTGGACTGCTTGTATCTAGGATATTGCACTCTTTCTCTGTCCTCAACACAGCTTGTTATGGTATGTTACAGCATGTGACAGCATTCCCTGCCCTTTTCACTGTGGTAGGTCCACTGTTCTTGAATCCCATCTGTTCTGAGACAACCTGTGGCTCTGCATGGAGTTCATTAGGTTGTGATACCTGTCCTGAAGCCAGGTGCAGTGCCAGGGACTATAGCATCTCTGTAGGGTTTTAGAGTCCCTGAGAGAGGCCAGTGAGGCCAGTGTACAGGAGGTTTGGGACTCTTGGGTCATGCTAACTTGGAGCTTCCTTGATGTAGAAGGTGAAGAAGTCCTTACAGCTTTGGAACAGCACCTTTTTAGGATTATCTAGCCACCTGT